TCGCGATGTTGGCTAGTGGCCCCCTCCTCTTGGCGTCGGGATTCCGGTGTCGATGCTACGGCCGAGCGATGACCCAACGCATGCGCAGATGTTTCCATGTCGGCGACCCTATTGCTAAGGTCCGACATATTGGTCCTCATGTTCCGGACTTCAGTCATGCACTGCGCCATCATGTCGTTTTGTTGCATCATCATCGCCATTAAGCGGCTCAGTTGCTCGACATTGGTCGCAGATGCACCCGGTTCATTCCCTGGAGCCTTCGAACTCTCAGCATTAGAACCGCTGGACTGCTCAACATGCGCGTTGTCATCGCCGCCCACCGCACCTTGCTGATCCAACTCTGACATCTGGAAAAGTTCCTCAAGTTTTCTCGAAAAACTGTGGCAAAAGCTAGGCTCGTTGGTCCGACCAATGTTCGTCTCTGGTCTACCGAGTTGACGTGCTGGGTCCTCTTCAATAGTGTTGAATATTCGCGCCGTGCACCTATTGAAATAGTCCGTAGGGACGAAATCAACGGGATGGGGGATACCAGTGTCGATTTGATTAAATAAAGACCCTACCACTTGATTTTCCAGGGCCCTGGTGAGACTTCTAGTTATTGGCCTGTCTGAATTAAAAAGCCCTAATCCACCAGTAACTCTCGATTGGGTATCTTTATCCATACACTCGCACACTCACACACAGGAGGACAATTCCTACTTTTTGCTTCGGGACACGATTCGCCAAAATTTCAAATACTGTCTTCAAATCAGGGATTCCTACTGAAACACGTTTATATGAACCCAAGATAAACAAAAATTGTTGTTTCTTCTTTTGTTGCCACAATTTGCAAAAAAAAAAATTCAATCAAAACAAGAATTTTTGAGGGATCAAAAAATGGGTAATTGCGTAAAAAAATATTAGATAAAGAGAAAAGTTAATTCAGTTGTACTTAATAATAATTGCGAAAAGTTATTATAAAAGTTCAAAAAAAATAATAATAAGAGGTAATAGTTAATAAAATTTACTAATGCAAAGTATGAATGATTTTCAAATATCGTGTNGGGAATGCTTCTGCGTTCGTTAATTAAAAAAAAAATTGCAAATTAGCGTAACAATTTATAAATGTATGTATATATGTGTAAACGTTTGGTGTGATGGGTGTTGCACCTTGGCGAGGTCATCATGAATGCGATCAGTCAGTGTGCTGTTCATTGTCGATGTCAACTAAATCCCTGGCGTCTTAAATATGAGTGTGCGGCACGTCTACATCCTCGACACTTTCCGTGAATATGGTTGCCACACTCTCTAATCCCCCCTTGCGTCGCCACACCGTAAGCCTCACGTTCGCGTGGCGCTGGACCAGGGAAAATTTTAGAATGGTAACCCCCGATTTCGGAATTAAGGAAAATAGGGGGGGTAGAGGGGGGTCTAAAGGGGGTATATGTAAAGTTTTAAAGCGCGCAACCTTATAGTTTTTAAGTAATTTGTTATTAAAGTTTGTAATTTTCACCAACTTGTATGGCACTATTTCACAATATATAATGCACTTTCCACAAAATTTACACGTTATTTACACTCAATATATGCGCAGCTAGAGTGTGCACGTTCAAACAAATAAATACTTTTAGTATATTACAGCTTTTTTATAAAAAATTGATTGTTGTTTAATTTTATGAGAATACATGCAGAATATGTGCAAATGGCAGCAGGACTGTGTTGCCATATGTAAAAAACCAAGAGTGGAAAGCAAGAGCAAAAGAAAATACGATTAAAAGGAAAATACGATAAGGTTCTTTTGTTCAGATAAAAATAAATAGTAGGGGGGCTGGG